ACCACACACACACACACACACACACACACACACACACACACACACACACACACACACACACACACACACACACACACACACACACACACACACACACACAGCCAAGCGTTTGTGGACTGCTGCAATGAGCTGAAGCGCGATGGGCGCATGGCATATGAGCGGCTGGACGAAGGTGCCAACTACTCCCAGCACGTGGCTGAGGTCGCAGCCGACATTGACCGATCAAGGTGTGACATGTGCCTATGAGATGGTGCTATTGTTTGTCGTATCAGTTGCCAGCCGTACTGTGGTGCCTTCCTTTGCGTCTTCACACCCTCAGCCACGTTCGCATGCGCGTGTGTATGCATATGTGTATGTGCGTGTGTGTAAACCTGAAGGTGCTCCTTCTATCAGGGCGACGCATGCAGCCTGAACCCGGACCTTGGCCAGTTTGATGTCGTTCTCATGGCAAATCTCCTCTGCCGCCTCCCAAACCCAACAGGTGCACGCCTGCTCTTATGTGTGTGTGTGTGTGTGTGTGTGTGTGTGTGTGTCTGTGTGTGTCTGTGTCTGTGTGTGTCTGTGTCTGTGTGTGTGTGATAGCATCACCGACTTACTGTTGCGGTCTCATGCCACCACCGACAAGCTGTCGCATGTTCATGTGCTCTCACATCAACTGTTTACTCCTCTTACCAACCAACCAACAATCAATCACAGCGTGCCTTGACTCGCTGCCGACCTTTGTGCCACGTGGCGGCCACGTCGTCATCACCTCTCCCTTCTCCTGGCTCGACGAGTTCACAGACCGCGACCAATGGCTCGGTGGCCACGATGGCAAGGTGCAGTAAATGCTGATGGTGGTGGTGGCGGTGGTGACGATGAGTGTTGATGCGGTTGACAATAACGACAATGATGGGTTGCTGCATATGCTGCATGTACTGCAAGGCGGCAGAGCTCTCCCCGCCCCCGTGTCGCCACGAGTGCTCACTGTCGCATGCGTGTTGCGTTCATATGTGCATGCCATCGAATCGTGTACTTGGCACCAACTTGGTCTCAACAGGCCTCGCGTGACGGCCTGGTGGAGCGCATGTCCGCCAACGGCTTCAAACTCGTCAAGGAGGACTCCATTCCGTTCCTCATCCGCGAGCACGCGCGCAAGTACCAGCTTGTCTTCCCGCACCTCGGCGTCTTCCAGCGTCAGTGATGGCTGGCTGTCCACGGCAGTCAGATCGCACTGGCGTCAGTGTTTGCGCGTGTGGAAGAGGGATAGATGGTGGCGGTGGTGGTTGTGGACGGGGTGTCGATCGATGGTAAGACACCCGTTGTTGTTGGCTTCTTTTTTGTTACGCGACATGCCATGCCTTGGCATGTTGTTGTGCGTGGTGAGATGGGGGTGTTGTTTAGCCTTGCTCTGTTGTGGCTCGCCGCGGCGACGTGAGCGAAAGCGACGTGTTCGAGCGGTGGCCCCGCAGTTGTCTTGCGTGCACGGATGAATTACACGGGTGTCCCATGCACAGATGTGACAAAGGGAGGACGAGCAGAGAGAAAGGTGGGCGAAAGCGAATGCCACTCATGAGAGCAGGATGACTGGAGCTCACTGCACTTGAGAGCACACACACACACACACACACACACACACACACACACACACACACACACACACACACACACACCACAGGCTCGCGTCACTGACCTCTCCTCCTGTATCTGTCGGGTGAAAGTGGATCCTTCTGTGCCAATAAAGATGAACGCGCGTGCGCACACAATCTGCTGCACAACAGCAAGCTGGCCCGGGTGTAGGGTGGATTTGATGTGCTGTGGCGTGTCAACAAGTGGAAGTGGAGGGTTGGATGCAAACGCGTCATACTCCTCGTCATCCCTGCGTGCATCTGTGGCGATGAACAGCGCACGGATGTCGTGTGCTCGCGCAAGTGCCAGGATCTGTTTCCTCGTGGATGCGAGTGGAGGGATATTTGCCGACCGCACGCGCAGGAAGTCGGCGCGGCGCAGATGGACGGACAGGTAGCGATGCTGGCGATGGCTGGCGATGATGGTCGTGGCCGTATCCACCAATGCTGGCGCGAACCGCATGCTTCGGCGGATGGCCTGGTACTGCGTCGTGGTGGTGTGCAGGGCCATAGTCGTCTCCAGACGAGCGATCATCACGACTGACGCAGATGGCGCAACCGTGTTGCTATCTTGCAGGAGCGGAGCCAGCAGGGTGGCAGACCCCATCATCTCCAAGCAAGTTAGCTCACGCGCGCGCACGTTGTCCCCCAAGCCCCAGAAGCTGCCTGTCCACTGGCCCGTGCCGTCATCTTGTGAAAACGATGTCCCTGATAAAGGTGGGGGCGCAGGGGAGAGATGGTGGTGTGTGTGTGTGGGGGGGGGGTGGTAGTACACCGGACACGCACCGGACAGTCAAGTGAACGGGCAGATGGAGGGGGGGGGGGCGGGGTCCCAGGGGGGGGGGGGGGGAAGACATGGGAGAAAAACCAAAAATTCCACACTTTTTTTACAAAAATAAAAAAAAAAAAAAAACAGGGTTTTAACCTAACCTTTCCCCTCCAACGAAAAACACATTCCCCACCCGAACCCATCACACAATCAAACGATGAAGTCGATTTGTTTAGTTCTGTGTGCAAACTTGTGGGAAAAGCCGTGACAAATAAACAAGTTGCCAAAACAAACGAGAGGAGCGAACACCACCTTAAACCGGCCTGCTTCTATTCTACGAACAGCACCCTCAAACATCCCACGGCGGTTCTTACGTTTTTAATTAATATT